GACTTATCGTAAAGCAAATGCCGATGCGCCCAACTCTATCAACCAAGAAGCTAAACAAATAGCCACTGACCTCAACATCAAAGATAGAACAGAACGCTTCTCAACTAAACAGGCATTCATTACATTTAAAGATCACAAGGAAAACTTCCCTAACAAACCCACATGACGATTGATCAACCCCGCGAAGAATGACCTCGGGAAAGTAAGCAAGCGCATCCTCGATAATATAAACAACCGCATCCGTCAGCAAACTTCCTTGAATCAGTGGAAAAACTCTATGGACGTCATTAAATGCTTCGACAGCATCCCCGACAAACACAAGCACTCGTTCACTGTCTTCGATATCGACAACTTTTACCCCTAGATCACGGAAACCCTCCTCCTAGATGCCATCAACTACGCCAAAACCTTCACCACGATCGCCGATCAAGAGATCAACATCATCATGTACTGCCGTAAATCCCTCCTCTTCAACCACCACACCGCCTGGAAAAAGAAAACAAATTACAACATGTTCGACGTCACAATGGGGAGCTACGATGGTACCGAAATATGCGAACTCGTAGGCCCTTTCATCCTCGACACCCTAAGCAAAAAAACAGGTAACACCAACATCGGCCTCTACAGAGACGAAGGCCTACATCAGACCTGAAAAAAAAAAAATCAGGCCTGTACGGGACTCGAACCACTGACCTCTGCGATACTAGTGCAGCGCTCTACCAATTGAGCTAACAAGCCAACTGGGAGCAGGCCGTTAAGTTGATTCGTAATAAACCCGTGAAAGTGATAAATAAGATACAATGAATATATTTCAGTTCATATATTTCAGTTCATATATTTCAGTTCATATATTTCAGTTCATATATTTCAGTTCATATATTTCAGTTCATATATTTCAGTTCATATATTTCAGTTCATATATTTCAGTTCATATATTTCAGTTCATATATTTCAGTTCATATATTTCAGTTCATATATTTCAGTTCATATATTTCAGTTCATATATTTCAGTNTGTTGGTGGCAAAAAGATAATTTGATGCCCTAAAAGCTGAAGTTACTCAAAAGGACAATCCGCCATCTTCGATCAGATCGCGCCTGCAGTTTTGTCCAGCGGTCAGCTCACATTCATTTGGCATGTTGTGTTTCTAGTCTACAAAGTTTAAAATGTAACAAAGATTAACGGCTAACAAAATATTTAACTCGTTATTTTTTAAGCCTGAGATAGTTGCTGGTTCACCAAAAAGCAAATAAGCCGGTCATATATTGGTCTCCTATCAGCACAGGGAAAGAAAAGAAAATGGTCAAAAAACTGACACGGGGTTAACTACGGGCTCATGCAATTTTGTTGGTCTTTGAAAAAATTTACTTGCGCTTATTTATTCCAAACTGCACTCGAAATCATGTGATTATGTATTAATAATATACATTAAAAAATACGAGTTAGCTTCTCATAACTATACAGAAATTATTTTTGCGCGCCTCACGCGCAAAGATAATTCATTGAAACCGTGCAAGTGTCATTGACCTTGACATTGACCAATCATTCTGACCAATCAGAATGTCTGGTTTGTTACCTTCGTTGCACTGAATTAACCCTTTTCTGCACTGAATTAACTGTCTTCTGCACTGAATTACCTGAAAACTGCATTCATCTTAACTACCTGAGTAATTTTTTCGTGTATATTATTAAAAATGTAAGAAAGATTAACGGCTGATAAAATATTTGACTTTTTTATTTTTTAGGCTTGAGATAGTTGCTGGTTCACCGAAAAACAAATAAGCCCGTGATATACTGGTCTCCTCTCAGCACAAGGAAAAAGAAAATGGTTAAAAACCTGAAATGCATATAGAAATCACTTACATATAATTCATCTAAGGTTTACTTCATACATTTGATATGTAATCTCTTGTAGCCGTCTATTGTAATATCTGGCTCTTCGTCGAGATGTACCTTAGAAACTGGTCAATTGCAAAAGTGCAGATTATTACTGAAAGGTGGGGCGAGGAAAGGGGGGGGGTTAACAATCGATTTCGTAGTAAGTATCAGACAGAAGTGTAATAGCCGCTCTTAAAGGTTACAAATAATAACCGACAATCCACTAATATTATCATCAAAATCCGGAAGAAAACCTCCTTCGTGTGCAGACGCTTCTACTTTTCTTAGTGACTCAAGTAGGCCGGACACTATGTTTCCCTGAACTCCTTTTAAATCCGAACATATTAAAATGCACAGTTGGAAAAGCAATTGATAAGAGAAACTGTGTACCATGAACGTCAGCATGCATTTCAAGATTGTCGGAGTGTCAGACTCAGCTACATTGTCAGCA